TGGGGGGAAGTCGGCGGGGAGGTCGCCCTTCCCTGCCTTCAGCTTCGTCCCCCTCGGAACCCGCGAGGGGGTAGCGGGGAGAGGCAACTGCTGGCAGCTCGCCGCCCCACACCAGGAGGCGTCTCCTCCTCCTGCGCCCCGCGGGCTGGCGCCGTCGCTGAGGGAGCCTCCTTGCCGAGGTTGCTTTGGTCTCCTCTGGCAGTGGGGCTTGGAGTCAAAGATGGGCCGCAGCCCAGGCAGGGGCGTGTGGGCTCGGGTGAAATGCCGTGAGTCCGGCTGGGAGGCACTGGGGCTTGCCTTAAGGCTGACACTGAAGTGGGCGGGGGGTGCAAAGCACTGGAGTTAGATAAATACTGGAATATTTCTAAAAGGCAGGATTTTCTGTTAGCGTTTTTCCCTAGGTTTTCAAATAGCGTTGTACCTAAGGCATGCTAGGTTTCGTGCTTTTTCTTTCTTTCTTTTTTTCTGTTTCTTTCAAGTTTTTAAATTGCGTAATTGTTGTTGAAGGTGGTTGGAGAAAGGTTTTATCTGTTCACTGCCTTTGCAAAAATCGAATGTGTTGAAAGTGTCCTTTTGCCTAGATCCGTGTTTAGGAGTAAGCTATTAGTGCTATGCGTTAGTAACTTTGAGCCCTCTGGGAGCAGGAAACACCCAAAGCCAGTCAGGGTGGAGGAGGAAGGGAAAGAAAACATAGGTTGTTAATCCAGGATTAAAATAACAGAAACCTTCCTTTCCTCTTACTTGTTGACTTAAAAAGTGCAGAGGCCTCGCACATACAGAACAGTATGTTTACTTGCACGTACAGAACAGCAGTATGTTTACTGTGTGGAGTCTGCAATACAGGGTCATTCTCTTAGGCAGGTGGTGGCTGATCTGCCGGTGTGGTCCTTAGCCCAGAAGCCAGGTCTGATGTTAGTAGATGCTGTGACAGTGTTTTGTTTAGAAACCTATCATTTAAGATGTCACCGCTGCCAGAACTGAGGAGGAAAATGTAGATAACTCTTAAACCTTAAGCAATCTCTGGCTGTCCTTCCAGCACGTTACAAGCACCCCACTCTAGCTCCTCATCCCATGCTTACTTGTGAGAACTCTGCAGCAGTGTCTGGTAAAGAATTTCCTGTGTAAAATTGTTTCCACATAAATGTTTGACCTAATTCTCCTTAGATGTGCTGTTTTCCTGTGTTGAAGTGATGTTTCTGTATTTGCCCCTTCTACGAGTTTACTGCTGGATAGAATGGTATATGAATGTCAAATAATGCATTGGTGGCAGAGGACAGTCTATGAAAGTTGGCACATGTCAGCAGTTCCATAAGCACTGGTGACAGTCTTCAGTTGTTTTTTTTCCCCTTTTTGTTTGCAAATAGAGAAAGGGTATACTTTTGGTGATCCAAATATTAACAGTTTATTTTAAAATTCTGATGTCTTAATTGCATTAGTCAAAGGCTTTTTCTCAGCAATTGCATTGTCTAACACCTTTGTTAAGTTAGCGTTGCCTGAATGAGTAAGTTGACACAAATCACATATCTATGCCAAATCAGCATTTTGTAACTATAAATGATGGTATTCAGATTGTCCATATTTGTATAGGCAATGTTCAGTGACTACCAGTGACTTGATCTCTGATGAAAATTCTTATTTTCTAGTTCTGTGCAACATCCACACTGCTGGCATCAAGAACAGGAATGTAGAAGCTGGAATGATTCAGATTCTTTGGTGTTTGATGAATATCAATGTAGACATTTAGACCAATGGCTGGAGAGGTAAGGAATAAATGTGAAGTTTGTTTAAATCTTCACTTTGCTGCACTCTTTTCTTTAGGAATCTGGCAAAACCTTGGACGTGATTAAGTTAAATGTTTTCTAATAATACAGTAGCACAGAGTTAGCAAATGATCTCTGCATTATGCAAGGGTTTGGCTAATTGAAATACATGCCATAATATTAGCAAATATTTCATATGAAGGAGAGAAATGGTATATACTGAGGCAGTAGTTTAAGCCCTTTATTGCCGAGATCTTCAATATTAGTATAAAACTCCAATTGAAGCAATATGCTGTTACTTTTTATGCTTTGCTTACACATCTTTATGTGTAAGCATGGACAAAGCATGATGCTTGTCTCTTCACTTGACAGTGCACTCGGTATATTCAACTGTACTACAGTTTTTAGTAAATACTTTTTTTGTGTGTGTAGTCCAGTACCGAGGGCATTTTGCGATGAGATCAAATTTTATAGGTAGGTAGTTCTAGGAGTATTTTGCTTTGCTTTTGGATATTCTAAAGACCTCCGCTGGAGGAAGTGGTTGAGATTGGTATCCTAATGTCTGACAGGAAGTATGAAGAGTGGCGAGTACTTGGATATGTGCAGAAAACTGAGTAGAATGTAAGTTAGAAGAGATGAAGTATTTTACTGAGGACACATGAAAACTTTTTTTTATATAATTTATATGTCTGAGTATTACATTATATGAAGGCGATTGTCATTTCTGATGGCGTATTTAATATTGCTTCAGTTAATAAATGAATCTTTTCAAGAGCTTAGGAAAGACCTTGTATTCAGGAGTGTTTTCTATGTCTTTGATGCTATCATAAAAAATACTAACACTATGTTATGATTGTGAGTCAAACTGGATGTGCTAGCAGCATTTTGTGTTTCTCTTTTGCTGAGCAGATATGTTCCTTCTTAGTGTGGAATCTTTATGTCGTGTTAAAATGACATTGGCAGCATGGATGGTAATCTCATCTGTTGATGTGAAACTGTTTAGGGAAAGTAAGACTATAAGCTAAATCTACTTCTATATTACTTACGTTAAATGTTGAGGCATTAACATTGAAAGAAGTGGACAGGCTGAAAGCAGAAGTTTTCAGCGCTTCAGAACATTATAGAATTATACAGTTTTCATTTATTATATTTTTTAAGTTAATGAGAAACCTGGTAAGTGTTTCTTCACTCAGAGAACATCAGTGATCCAACTGATTATTTAAGTAAGAACTTCCTGACTCCCTTTTTGGCTTTACACAGCAGAGTTTACATTCTTGAAATGATATGTTGGGATATGATGGTGTCTGACAAAATGTTAGTTCTGCTGATGTGACGGGCATTTTTCTATTTCTTAAGCATCTCGTCTGTCCTTGACAAACTCCTTAGCTGACGACAGAGAGCAGTGACTAATCTGTCCTTGACAAAGTCCTTAGCTGACGACAGAGAGCAGTGACTAGACTGATGATTTTGACCTCAAGTAATTTCATGAATTTTGCTCTTTGATGGAATGGCAGTATTGAGAAGGTCCTGAAGTAGTAGAGGGAAGCATTTGGATTGGCTGAGTTGGGAGTATTTTAAGAGGTGGTCAGGTCTATGTTCTGACATGAAATTCACTTCATGACTATTTTCTTGCCCTGCAAAGTAAAACTGATAATCTTACATCACTGCTGAAGGTGACTTGAGCTGAAATGTTTCAATTTGTTTGACTTTGAACTGAAATGGAGTAGGGGCATGCCCATGGTGTTACAGTTGTGGAGCTGTTATTGTCCACTATTGAAGTTTCTGGTCAGTAAATACGTTATGAGCAACAAACATTCATATTGAGTTCTCATTATTTTCCAGCTCTTCAACACCAGAAGATTCAAGGCCTCTTTCTAGTTGCCCTGACTGGGAAGGTAGAATTGAAGAAGGCAAAACAATGAGGACATCAAATAAAAAAAAGACCAAGTAGGTATTGAATAATTATTAACTATTGTTGCGTTGGTTTTAGCAATAGCCATCTGATGCTCTCCAACTACTTTATATACATTAATGAAGATTTGAAACACAGCCAGGCTGTTTCATATCAAGCCTGAAGGAAGCCTTAAGGAGAGAGTAGCACTGAGAAGTCTTATCTCAAAAGCTACTTGTAACATCGTTTCAAATTCTCTTCCTTTTTCAGCTTAAATTGCATATTCATTACAGCTTTCTGTAAGAGAAAATACTGGAATAGTGAAAGGAAAAATGAAAACCAACCATCAAGGCTTAGAGAGAGAAATGGCTATTAGATCATTCAAACTAGCCTCCTTTATATTATCCATTTTCGCTTTATTGAGTTTAAGCTTTTTCATATTTATGTTAGAAGGTTGGTACACATATGTGCAATAATCGTGTATAATTTGATTTCCTTGTAGGACTAGCTATAAGGTTCTAGTGAGGCAGCTCTAGCACCAGTACCCTCAGGTATATGTTTACTTGTTAAAAACCTGAGCAATTGCATGAACTTGCAAAACCTACTCTTTTTGCTGTAATGATTCATTTGGTTAGCACAACTTTCACTTCTGTAAATTGGTGAAGTAAGAGTTGTGCTTACTGTCTCTCAGAGTAAGAATACATGAATTTCTAGAGTTTGTTTTTATTGTAAAACTATTAAGGTTCTTTTCAACTTAATTCTAATTTTTATTTTTAAGTTCTGTTTCAAGTGATTCTTCTAATCCAGCTGAAAGGGAAACAGATGAAGTGGTTCTGAGGAGAAGACAAAAACAGATCAATTTTGGAAAGAATACCCTTGCATATGACAGATACATTAAAGAAGTTCCAAAGTAAGTTGCACTATGTTGCACATTTCCAAATAAACTCTTATTTGTTCCTGACGTGTGTAGATGAGCACACAGCTTTAGTTCTCTTAAAATTATATGAACAGTAAGTGAAAAAAATTGAATCAATTGATTTCTGTTAAAGAGAAACCGGGTATTTTCTGCATATGAGCAAATTTAGTTAGGGAAAAATTAAAGCTAAATGTTCCCTTTGTGTATTGCTGTTGCTAGTAGCAAACACGCTTTAAATAAATTCTGTATTAATCAGCTCCCTGTGACACTTCTGGTGACTGTGTTGCTAGGCCAGTGTGGTTAATCGATAGCAGGAATTGATTTTTGTTAAAGAGAAACCGGGTATTTTCTGCATATGAGCAAATTTAGTTAGGGAAAAATTAAAGCTAAATGTTCCCTTTGTGTATTGCTGTTGCTAGTAGCAAACACGCTTTAAATAAATTCTGTATTAATCAGCTCCCTGTGACACTTCTGGTGACTGTGTTGCTAGGCCAGTGTGGTTAATCGATAGCAGGAAATGACAGCTTTGAATGAGGACTGAATAAAGCCTTGCATTTAAGTATTGGTAAGAGAGACCAGTCTTCAATGATTCATCAGTAATTAACAAATCAAAACCTGGATTTCTTGCTTTCTCCAGCTGACTCCGTTATGGTAGGACTATAAACAGGATTATTTTGTACTGAATATACAGTTTGAGTGAGCTCTCCAGTAATCTGTGGTGGGCAGGATCTGGGTTTGGTATACTGTCTGAGAAATAGCACTTTCAGCCACTGGGTGATCCCAGACAGCATTGTTACGGTGTCTGCCCAGTGTAGATTCAGTGGAAAGGCATATATATCATTTAGATTTTACCCAGAGAGTGCGGGTACTTTGTTTTCTATACTCCCAAAAGACAAATGCTGTTTAGAATTATAGCAGTCGCCATTGTAATAATGCATGGACAGTGGCGGAACAAAAGTTCACTGAAGATACTTGTGGGTTGACCCCTGCCAGCAGCCAAGTACCCACACAGCTACTCGCTCCTTCCCTCTGCCCAGTGGGGTGGGGAAAGAATAGGAAGAGCAAAGGTGGGAAAACTGATGGATTGAGATAAGCGCAGTTTAACAGGTGAAGAAAAGAAAGGGCGGAAAAAGCAAGTGATGCAAATGCAATCGCTCGCTACCTCCCACAAGCAGAGGGGTGGCCTGACAGTCTCTGGAAGACACCTCCCCCTCTTCCTCTGCCCAGGTTTTTATTGCTGAGCATGACATTATATGGTGTGGAATATCTCTTTGGGTAGAGTCAGCTGTCCCAGCGGTTTCCCCTTTCAACTTCTTGTTCCCCCTCAACTTAGTAGCTGCAGGAGGGGGCAGGGCAGAGTGGGAAAAAGAGAAGGCCTTGAAGCTGTGTAAGCACTGTTCAGCAATAGCCAAAAATTAGTGTGTTATCAGCACTGTTTTAGCCATAAATCCAAAACACAGCACTACAGGGACTGCTATGAAGGAAGTTAACTCCATCCCAGCCAGACTCAGTACAATACTAAATACAAAGAAACTTCACCTGACTCAGGATAACTGAGATAGAAGTAGCTGGAGGCTAGAATATTATTGAAGGGGTATGAGTTATGCTTTTTCTGTTTCATATTTGTCCATGCGCAGTAGGGATCTGCTTTTTGCAGCTGTCAGAGTGCTGGACTAGATGAACCTCTGGTCTGGCTCAGCATGTTATTTTTAGTTGCTTGTGTGGTCTGGTTTTGACAATGTTTTAGAATATACCCATTTCAGTTAAGTGTTTAAAAATATGAAAATTTTATTTATTAGGTTACTGATAGTTGCGTGATCTGATGGACTGAGGATTTTTTTTAAGAATGAGAATCATGTCCTGAAATATAAATGTTACTGTGTATTTACAGGAATCAGCGAATACCAGGAGTTCATCCTAGAACTCCCAACAAATTTAAGAAGTACAGCCGTAGATCCTGGGACCAGCAGATCAGGCTGTGGAAGATAGCACTGCATGCCTGGGATCCTCCTACTGAAGAAACCTGGGATCTGCAGCCAGTGTGTGTATGGGTGAATTAAGTCAGCACCTGTCTCTTGCTTCACAGGAGGACTCTGTATTTCCTTTAGAGCATTCCTAACTGGGAGCAAGAGATCAGGTTCAGAAATGAGAGTCGTCTTGAACGCCTTGTTTTCCTTTTGAATTCTGTTAGTCTTCAAGATATTCCCATTATTTAGTCTAAATTCATCTCCAATGAGGCACTTTGGGGAGGAGGGCTTTCGGTCTGTCTGCAGTAGTACACTCCCTTCCCCTGTGTGTTTACACTGGTCAGCACAAGGTAAAATTCTTTTTCTAGAAAGGCATAGACATAAGCAGAAATTCAGTGATTACTGTTCCCTAACCTTGATAACCTTTCCATCTTTCCTTTTTCTGATGTCAGTGGAACTACCTTTCTCCTGCAATAACAATATGTTAGAGAATTTGAGAAGTGTAAGAAGATTAGAGAGGGATTTCTGTGCTCTCTGCAGGAGAGTGGCAACTGTGTTCAAGATGGATTTTTTTTTTTTTTAATATCTTTTCAGAACTTTGAATTTCTGTAACAAGGCTAGCTCCGCTAACTGACACCACCTAATACTTTACCAGGTTTGGACTAGTAAATTGGGAGAAAGAGTGGAAATACTAGCTCTGTAATTGCATTGTGTAAATAGTTTTGTTGTGTTGTAATTGACCTATGGTGGAAGTTGCAGTTGTTTGCCGTTTGGATCTCATGAGGTGAACTGTTAATTATTACTGCAGCTTAACTGTCTTCTGCTTGGAGTGGTAAGTTAGATGGGTAGTATTTTAAATCCAGGTTTTTTTTTTCCTTTTCTGTTTTTAGTAGTACAGAACCCTCAGGCAGTTCCCAGGAATGGTTCTGCAAAGATCAGGATGTTTCTGGCTCCCTTGTATTTGATGAAAAGCAGAAGAGAAATGAGTGCGAAGATGAATGCAGACAGACCGACTACACACCGGAGAGGTATCAGATAAAACTTTTGTGGTTAACATTGAAATAATTCAATACACGTTGATGCTGTCAGTTTTTTTAGGAAATGTTTAATGAGTGAGGGCAGTTAATGCCTACATTAGGAGTTTGGCACTTTTGCTGTTGAATGTAATCCATCACTGGTACAGAGCGGCAAATGCGGAAGAACTACCAGCGTTACAGAATTGCATGATCAACAGCAGGAAAAGGCGGTCTGTCTTCAGCTTCTCTGTTTATACAGTGAAGTACTGAGGTTTCTTTAACCACTGTTGGCAAGCACTGACAGTAGGATACCTTTTTCAGAAGCAAGAGTGGCCATCCTTAGTTAACAGTGTTACACCTGTCTGCAGAACAGCAGGGAGAAAAACAGTGAAGCACCTCATGCACTTCCCTGTTTACTGAGATATCTTGATCTGGGGGCATGCGTGTGGAGCTGAAAATGGTTCTGCTTCCAAGTTTCTTGTGTGATTGTGACTGGGTTCGCTTTCCAAAATACAATGGAGTGGTTACCAAAATTTGAGCCATTTTCTCTGTGTTCCTCTGTTGTGACTGAAGAATCATGCCTCAAAAAAAAGTCTTCCTGTGTAGCATGTGCCAGCCATTATTTTGCAGAACTCTGATAAGCATTTAAACAGAGATGAAAAATGTTATGTGTGTAAAATCTGTGCCTTATTCTTGTAGTTCCTGTTCTCCTGATTCTTCTCCAGTATGGAAACGCAGAAAAAGAAACAATTCTGACTCCTCTGTGGTTTCAAAGAGCAAAAACCATTATGTGCATATGTACCACACACTGGAAAGGTATGAAATGATTTTCCATATGGAGATTCATTGATATTATGAACCGACTCTTGAAATATGACTGGTATTTATCCCTCCATTTGTTAATAGCTTTAATTTTATCTAAATGTGTGTGCAATTTAATAAGGAGATCATGCCAGAATAATTGTGTTGTGTGATAGCAAATATTTACAGAGCAAAGGTGAAGAAACTTCAGTGTCAGAAGACACAACAGGTTATTTTTTGTGTGTAGACTTAGGCAACACTAATGTGTTATTCTTGATTTCTCATGGAACCTGGTTTCTGCTTCAGAGGTTGTAATTCTGAAATTGTTATGTGTCTGTCATAGTTATTTCCCATACCTCTGAAATGCACTGCATTCTGCTTTTTGGCATACAGAGTTTGTACAGGTTGATGAATGTTATGGTAAAGAAATGGAGCCCAATGTGCAGTCAGAAGTCTATCAGCAAATACTGAAACTTGCTGCCTATTTAATTATTGCCATGTTACGTTTGCTACAGGTGTTACAGGGAATATGTGTTCATGAAGGGATGTGAAAGAAGCTTTGTGTATTTTGATTAAGCTTTTCCCTGCCTTATGAAAGGTGGCATGGAAGAAAATGCTTGTTGGGACAACAAGGAATTGGTCACCCAGCCTGGGACTGGGACAGAGTGAAGTTAATGTTCGAAAATGGATAACGGAAGGGTAGACTTTTTCAGGCTAACACCTTCTTTATTCTAAGTTGTTCAGGAATTTAACTACTCCGCTAGCAATTGGTCTTAATCATATTTCCTTTTTTCCCCCTTCCTAGCTGCTGCATAAGAAGTCTTCCTATAAATGAGAAGTGTTAGGCTATGTAGAGGAGAGCGTGGTTTAACTCTATACAAAGTTTTGTCAGAACCACAAGAAACCTGGAACAATGATTTAAGTTTTTTGGGGTTTAGTAGACTTTTCACGCTAACCTTAGTAAAAATGTTTATACAGGTGTGGTTTTTTCTCTCTACATAGCCCCCTTCAGAAGAATTAAGAGGAACTGTGATACAAAGGTCCATGGTTTCAGACCTTTTCACTTTCTTTCTAGTTTTACTGAATCAGGACATCAGGAGGCTTTTTCAAAGAGCTCAGAGTGGGAAGCCTTTGGTGAAAATGACGAAGTAATGACAGTACAACATGGTATAGAAATAACAAGGTAAATACCATAATTATTATTATGTTCTTTATTGCTTGTGTTGTGAAGGTGGCCTTGGCTTTTTTATCTTCCTTTTCTTTCACTGTTTAATACAACTTTATTTTTTTCCTTCCTTACACTTCCTCCAACATGTGGTATGTTTGGTTCTTCATTTTGTTCTTTGGGTTTACTTGGCTTTTCCCAGTCTGGCTCTCCCATCTATTGCTTTCTGCTGCTTCTGCCATTAAGTAATGCTGGAAGATGCTGAGGCCCTTTCACCCTCTTTGTCTTATGGAAAGCAATGGCATTTTACAGAATTGTTCCTCATGGTTGTTAATAGCCTCTCAGTTGCTAAGCCTAGGAGCTGAAAGCTTCTTCTTTGTCTCCTGAGAGATTAAGTTGTTTTGTAGCTGACAACAATGAGAGTTATTTGTTTTTATGCAGTGACCCAATTCCAGCCAGTTGTTCTTCAGGATGGAACAATCAGAAACAGAAAAAAACCAACTTCTTTCTGCCTGACAGCAAAAGTTGCAGAGATACAGACTGCAGGCTGGAGAGGTATAAAATGCAGCTCGTCAATTGGGGACCTTTTTTTGCGTATTAAGTTAGAAGCATAGTTGCCTTATTGCTGTATTTCAATCCAAGCTTTTATTATAAACATGGGTAACTTTTTTTTTACTATTCTTCTTAGGGGGGTGTTGGCCAATATTTATATGTTGTGTGGTAAAATTCTGTCCTTATGTTCTCGCAGAGAACATAAGGTCACTTACACGTCACTCGCAGAGGCGATCAGCTCCAGTGCAGGTGTGTCCCACAGCGGAGCAGCGGATCGTGGCGTACAGGGGCGCAGGGAAACCCCTGGGGAGCGCAGGGACCCACTGGGAGCCGGCAGCTCTCGCAAGGGCGGCTGACGAGGTGTAAGTGGGGCCAGGAGTAACGGCGGCCACCCCCCACTCTTACAAAAGGCAGCCCCAGGGAGCGCTGCAAACAGGATCGCTGGGACCAGGGTGGGCAAACAGGGTGTGGCGCGTCAGCTAGGGCATGGTGCGGCAGTTCGCACAGCAGTTCCTGTGGGAGGACGTGCAGGGAGGGCACCTCTTCGAAGGAGGGGCATTCCACAGGCTGGGTGGGAGACTTGGAGTACACATAACCCAGCAACCGGGCACCGTTCTGTGACCATCAGCAAAGGTCAAGGGCACTCATCGTACCTGACCCTCAAGGCAGAATGGCAGGCACTCATCTGAGAACAAAGGCCATGGCTCTGGCTGAGGGGTCTGCACCATCTGCCCCAGCGGTGGCCAATGCCTCCACCTGGATGGAGCTCCTGAAAGGAGAGGCTGCAGCGCAGACCTCAGGCTGCAGGAAGTGCCTAGACCTCTCTCCTGGGGCAGGGACAGGTGGCAGACCTGCCTGCAAAAGGTGTGCCCAGGTGGAGGACCTCCTGCAGCCAGTGGCTGAGCTGCAGGAGGCGGTGAGAAGGCTGTGTAACATCAGGGAGGTGGAGAAGGAGTCAGATAGCTGGTTCCAAGCGCAGTCTGCAGTGGACCCACAGCCCACAGCCATGCAGCCAAAAACTCCCCCACCGGCACACACAGAAGGGAGGGGGGCCAATAATGCAGAATAATGGACGGTTGCAACAGCAAGAACCAGCAGAAGGAAGAGACTTCCCCCAAAGCCTGAGGCGCCCTTACAGAACCGCTTCACCACTCTGCAGACTGAAGAGCAAAGACCCATCACATCAGGAGC